TGGATATATATAATCAAAACCAAAGCAAATGGCAATATTGAACGCTATAAAGCTCATTGTGCTCAAACCTTTACACCATTAACCCATATAACTATTCTCTGGACATTTGTGACATCTATCAAACAATGGCCTTTTGTATTAGTTAGATGTTAAAAATCAATTTCCCAATGGTGACCTTGATGAGAAAGTATAAGTGAAGTTACCTCTAGGAGTTATAGATCCTCAAAACAAGGTGTGTGAACTTCGAGAAGCTTTATATGGACTCAAACAAGCACCTCGTGCTTGGTTTGAGAAATTTCACAGCGTATTTGTACCTATAGGATTTCAACAATGCCATCACGATCCAATGGTCAGTGTCTGAAACTCCTAAGGGACAAGCTCTTTTGTTACTTCATGAGCATGATATGATAATAGCTGGTCATGATATGGCACTATACGTAAGATCACACAAAAACTCAATCAAATATTTGAAATGAAAGACTTGGGATTCTTACGTTATTTTTTTGGATTAGAAGTTGTTTATTCCCCTCATGGCTATCTGCTATCTCCGCTCAAGTATGCTTCAAAAATTATTTCACAAGCTCGACTAATAGATGATACTAAGAAGGTTGATACCCCTACTGAGTTGAATGTTAAACTTCGGGCTACATATGGTGAAACCTTTTATAGACAAATGGTTGGAAAGCTAATATATCTCATAATTTCACGAACAAATATTGCAAGTGCAATGTATCTAGTTAGTCAATTTCTAAGTGCTCCTCGATTTGTCTTACATATAATCCGTCATGTTAAGAATACTCTTCATTTTTCTCACTTGAGCTTCGGGCACATGCATACTCAAATTTTGCAAAGAATCTAAGTGATTGAAAATCTATTATAAGGTTCTATATTTTTTTAGATGATTCTCTTCTATCTTGGAAAAGCGAGAAAAAAAAATATTGCCAATTCTATAACTGAAGTTGAATATATGGCCAGACACAAACCAGCACTAAAGTTGTTTGGTTTTATTAGTTACTCACATACATGAGTGTCACATTGCCATTCCCACGCCACTCTATTGTGATAACAAGAGTGTCATTTATATTTCAAAGAATTCAAATTTTTATGAACGCACGAAACATATTGAAGTTAATTGCCACTTTGTACGACAAGCATACCTGGTAGACACAATTTCTCTTCCCTATATACCCTCTTCTGCAAAAATTGTTGGCTTCTTCACCAAAACTTATTCTTCTAATGTAATGAGATCTGAGAAATACAGTACAGTCAAGTTTCTCTCTCATAAAGCTTTATTGTTGATTTCTTTTTGTGGTTTCCTTATTCCATCTTCACTTTTCTCCCAATTTTATAGAACATCATTGCTTTCCTTATTCCATCTTCACTGTTCTCCTAATTTTATAGGACACCATTACGTATTCTTCTTGAGTTATCCGTGGGGTTTGAGTGTGCAACATATATTCTACACCTTAATTCTCTAAGTTTATGTCAATATATATTTTTCTTAGAATTTATTTCATTGGCCTATCTCTATCTAGTTTAACATATATATATATATATATATACTTATTATTTTATGGAGGGAAAATACACTTGCATATCTTATATTGTATACTCAAATCCTATTTTTTTAGATTACAAGATGAATTTTAAAATTATTTTCATTTTATATATTAATTTAGGCTCAAATTCAGGGCATTCATACTTCTCTCTCGCATTTGTAAGAAATACCAAAAATATTTTTAAATAAATAAAATGACTAACATACCTCTAACATTTTAAAATTTGTAAGGTTAGTTTAGTCATACTTATTTAGATTAATTAAATTTTTAATATTTTTACAAGGTACGTCATGATGAGAAGTATGGATGCCCAAAATTTGAGCCTAATAGGATATATAGAAAAAAGAATAAAATTAAATATAATATTCATTATACAAAAGGAAAAAGTTTACATAAGGATGCAACCTTATAATGTAGAACTACGGATGCACCTCAAAAATTCATCGGAAAAGGTAGTTTTATGTTGAAAAACCTTTTGATTGATCATCTCGACATTGAGATGTATGACCATGAAAAATAAAAACATTTTAAGTCTCAGAAATAGTGCATTTTACAACATATTATCTACACCGTCCATTTTTAAGATTTTCATATGTGTATAGATATACTTGATTTTAACCATTTTTTAAATTTAAAATTTTATAGTTAGATATAAAAATAGATTTTGAGATAATCCTAAAAACATCTTACATCAATATTATATGCCATGATAAAATTTGAAGGTGCACCTTACCTCTACAGCTACGGATGCATCCGCATGCCAATTGCACCCTTATTAAAAATAAAAAATAAAAAGGTAAGATTTATGTGTAAAATATAAAAGATATAGGACTATTATTAACCATATATAGAAAAAAAAAAGTGAGACTTACGTGTAAAATATAAAAGATATAGGACTATTTTTAACCATATATAGAAAGGTTTTTTTGCTTTTTTAATTCGCCTTTTATACATAACGATAAGTCATACCAAAAAAGTCATATTTATCTTCACTTGAAAATCTCGTACTTTTTTTCTTCAAATCCAAGTTTTGAACATATAAACTAAAGAGAAAAAAGAACGTAACCAATAAAGTCGAAACTTAAAAAGGGCGTTAAATTAAAGAATCTTTTTTAACATATGGACTAGATAGAAAACTAACTGGGCACGCAAATAAAATGGAAACTAAAAAAACGGTGTGGTTTCTATAAGGCCGAGGATCTAAACCATCAAAGTAGGGCATGCCTTCAAATTATGTCACAAGAAGTTTCAATATTGGAAATCTTTGTGATGACTTGAAAATTTATTTTCATATCTAATTATAAAATTTAAAAATTTAAAAATAGCATAGATTAAGCAGATTTATGGATATTCGAAAATCTTTATTTACCCAAAAAAACCACTTGAAAATTGACGGTCCAAAATACATTACATGATTCATCATTTCCAAGACTTGAAATCCATTTTTTTTGTTATATCCGTACATCTTGAGGTTGAGATGATCAATTTGAAGAATTTTGGGCATTGAAACAACCTCTTCTAATAAATTTTCGAGGTGCATCCTAATTTTATTGTTTACAGCCTCACACTTACATAAACTTTTTACTGTCTTAAATACACACTAACAAATAAATAGGAGTGTCCTCAAAACTTAAAAGGAAAAAGATTATATAAGGTTGGAACATTAAAATGTAGAATTAAAGGTGCACCTCAAAAATCCATCATAAAAGGTTGTTTGGATATTGGAAGACCATCGAATTGATCATCTCAACATCGAGAAATATGAATATGAAAAGAAAAAAATATTTCGAGTCTACGAAATAGTGTATCTTGCAACACATTATCTACACTGTTCATTTTCAAGATTTTCTTGTGTTTTTAGATCTAGTTGATTTGAACCATTTTTAAAGTTTAAGATTTTATAATTAAAATAAAAATAGATTCTCAAGCCATTCTAAGAAATTTTTATACCAAACTTACATTTATGAAAAAATTTAAAGATGAACCTTAATTGGATTGTTTAAAGCTACAACATTACGTAATCT